GAAAACACAAGGCTGCTGGCCAGAGACAAAGGACTTTATTGCTCATGCATCCGCATGTTTGCAAAGTTCCCTTGCCCCCTCCCCATCCCACACGGGTGATACCATGCACACAAAGGGATGGTGCGCATGCAGTAGGTTTGCTTTGCAGCTGACGAATAGTGAACCTGGTGAATCCTCTGCTTTTTTAGCAAACAGGAAACAAGCCTATTCTTTGTCCTGGTGAAACATGACCTTATCCCTCAAGGTTGCTTACTGCAAACTCAATCCTGAGTAATGATCCGGATAAAGAGTAGTCAGAGCACACCCAGTAAGACATGTAGGAGCTCCAGAGACTTGTGGAGGATTATCCCTCCCAATAGTACTTATTATAGGAAAGGTGAAAAGATAAATAAGGAGTAAAATCGACCTCTTACATACATTTCCCATCAACTTCGTTGTGAATTTAGTTCTACAAAATGGATCCAAAGTCGAGCGAGGTTTATGGGCAAACACTGGAGTCACACACCAAACTCAGGTGATAATGTTTTTGAAACTGTGGCATAAATGCTCCTGTTAGGGATAGCTAAAAGCCCTTATACATTATTGGCCTTACTGCTTGGGACTGGGATGACTCACTCAGGAAGGGTCTCTGAGGGGTCTCCATTTCCCCAAAGCTTGAGGATGATCCTTCAGGTGTCCCTGAGATGGCGCTAATGTCCTCTGTCTCAGAATGCAGTGAGGGTTTCCTCACAGAGCCTACAATTGTCCACTTCCAAGCCCTTGCCTTTCACCAGCCTGCTGTCAAATTTCAGCAGAGTCCCCCCAGAATGGCTTCGAATAACGACTGATCTCTACAGCAGAACGCTACATTCAGTTCTGAGCTCAGAAGGTCCCTGCTCCTCAAGCTGGGTCATATTTCAGAGCTCTTTATGTTACTCCATCATCTATTCATTATTTCCTCTTCATTCAGTTTATTAAGTATATACTGAGATGCTACCAGACTGGCAATTCTGCTAGGACTAAGAGCTCATGCTTCTGCCCTCAAGAAACCGACCCCGAGGGAATCTCAAGCAAGTATTTTTACACCAAGTGCTCATTATGATGGGTGTCAATGACGTCATGTGATTTTTTTGGCAATAGCTAAATCAGATGCTATATTACTTTTCAAAATTAAAGTTGTGGGAAAAATGATTGCTTGATCTGTGTAGAGCCCTTGGCAAGTAATTACTGTGTTTGTATATCTTGATATTAATTAGCAGAGATGCATGTGAGGTGCTAAAAATGTAACAGAAAATGAATTGAGCAGTAAGTATACAAGAGAACATCAGCATCTCTCTTGATAATCTGACAAAGGAAGAAACTGTTCAGATTGAACAACTAAATCAATAAACCAAGACAAGATCTGAGAAGAAGACCATGACTTGGGTTGTGGTGTCTCCCTCTCACTTTCCCAAGGGAAGAAGAGAGTAGCCACTCAGGTGACAACACAGGCCAGCCGGGCGGTGTATTCTCAGTGTGACAGCTCGCCGTCCTGGTACCTGGGGAGCTGGGGACCCAGAAATACCAGTAGCACATGTTAGAAATAATCCCTCATGGGGTGATCATGTCACTGTCCCCAACCTGTGCAACCTACTCTCCTAGCAAACACTAACACTTTGAAACAAGTGGGTTTTTTTGTGTTTGCTTTTGTTTTCACGAAAAAACTTCTTGGATTCGATTGATTAGTATTTCTTAATGAAAATTTTAATCTCCTAGTTCCATCCACATTAGCGAAATTCCATTTCATAGTCAATTATAAGCCACTAGGTTTACCCTACAGCACTAATATTCCTTCAATCAATTTAGCAAAAAAGATGTGAAGGGCTGCGGATCATGGAGACAGAATTTTGTAGTGAATACATCTTTGAATGGGCAGAAATCTAACTAAATAGTAATCAATTAATGTCACTCCCAGTCCTTTCCTCTAATGGGCATCGACATCAGCCAACCAAGGAGTGCCCTCAGGTCAAGACCACACTTGCAAAAGCTGTGTGTTAGGTGTGACTTCTCCTGTATATGCAAAGAAAGCTGAGTTTAACAACTTGCTCAAAGTCACTTTCACTCAGCAAAATGAGTGTTTGATTCAAGCCAGGTCTATCGAATCCCCAAATCTGTGCTTTTCAGGGCAGGGAAGAGAGAAAGCTTGCTGAATGTGTGAGAATCTGAGGGCGGAATACCAATCCTTACCCCTTCTCAACTCCAACCAGTGCCCCAACCAGTGATCTGGTCTACTGCATGTCTCGAGTATCTGACTGAGATTAGATTCAAAGACATTCAGATGTTGGTTAAAAAGAAAGAAAAGAAAAGAAAAACACCATGCATTGCACTACTCAGATATTTTGAGGCTGAGTTAAATAAGACTGGATGATTATTATCAAAACTCTCAGCCTTGGGGCGCCTGAGTGGCTCAGTCGTTAGCGTCTGCCTTCGACTCAGGTCATGATCCCAGGGTCCTGGGATCGAGTCCCACATCGGTCTCCCTGCTCCACGGGAAGCCCGCTTCTCCCTCTCCCACTCCCCCTGCTTGTGTTCCCTCTCTCGCTGTGTCTCTCTCTGTCAAATAAATAAAGTCTTAAAAAAAAAAACCCAAACTCTCAGCCTATAACAGTGGTTCTCAAGTTTTGTGTACGTAAGAAGCAGCTCGGGTATTTGTTTAACCTGCAGATTTCTAAGCCCCACCCTCAGAGATCTGATTGAATGGTCTGGGGAGAAGTCCAGAAATTCATGGTTTTAACGGGTACTTCGGGAGAATTTGATGCAGGTGCTGAGAGCTGCATTATGAAAAACTAAGCAAACATATTTTGAAATAAAGCTGTGAATACAAGCTGTTGAATGCAAGAAATTGTTCTATCTTCCCTGTTTGATGCACGTGCCAACCCCTTTGGAAAGGCCTCCTTGAATTCAAGGTCCAGCAAAGACTTGTCTTAAATCCTGGATGTCTACCCTGATTTGAGGTTGGGGAGAGAATAGTTAACAGCCATGGGAGAGAGAAAATGAGTCTTAGAATCCTGTATAAACTCCTTCATGTAAGTCCGAGAGGCTAATCAATAGGAGACATGTAGAGGGAAAAGTTAGGGTGTTCAAAGCCAGCAGAAAGGAGACCCCCAGTCAGAAGAACAAGTGAAAGAAACAAAAGAAATGAACAAAGAAATTCTCCTCCTGAAAATATCAAGTAGATTTCTTAGGAACTCAGAGGTGGGCACATTTCTAATCTACAAATCATGGCCTGACAGCCGGCTCTGGGCCAGTCCTTCTTTGCTGGGAGCAATGTTCTGAGAACCCTTCCTCCTTGGACTCAGCATTGCTGACCCATCCCAGGAAGGATTAAGGACGAGAATGTGAGGTCCAGGAAGCAGCAGTGATGCGAATTGTGGCAGCCCCAGGGTTCTGTTGCAGGAGGAGTTAGATGCAAGAGTGTGTAGGTAGGGGGAGCTTGAAGCTGTGTTTGTTGAGGACTTTATGAGATATTGACAAAAATTATGATCTGCATCCTATGTATCTCCCAGATAGAGATAAATGAGAAGTGTTTGGGGTTTAAATGCCTCTCCCCAGCCACCCCTCCACGTGGGATGGAACCTGATTAGTTGGTTTTATTATCTTTCCTCCCCTTGCTATTTCCCCCAGGAGAGACAGATGCTATGCAGGTTCCAGTGTTATTAAATTTGCATTTGCCAAGGTTTGGTCCAACTCACGTCGGGAAGGGCGTGCTGGTCCTGGGGCAGCCAGGACTATCTGCCACAGACTATCTGTGCAGCGGGTCCTCAAGGCCATGGGAGGCTACAGTGGGGAAGCATGGCTGACCTAGAATGACCAGGGGTCTGTGTGTGCTGGTGGGTTGTTTCCCCCAGATGCTACTAGTCCCTGGGTGCTTCCTAAAGCTGGCTCTTCCCTCTCAGTCTCTTGTGTGAGATTTTTCTCCATATGTTTCATACATATCCAGACACTCCTGGCTTGCTGGGCATCCCCACACAATCTCCCACGGGGATCTCAAATTCACCATGTTCCAAACTGAATTGATCATTTCCTTCCTACCCAGACCCGCTTCTGTATTTCTATCTTGATGGATGAAATACTCAGCCCCTCGGCTGCCCAAACTACAATGTTTGGAATCCTCATTGACTCCTCCCTCTTGCCTACCCTGGGTCAACCAACGTTGGTTTTACTTCATAAATATTCCTTATACCCACGCCCTCCTCTGGATCCTTTGCCACTGCTCTGGCTTAGGTCTTCATCATTTCTTCAGTAGATTTGCATTTGCTTCCTTACTGATCTCTCTTCCAACGGTTTTCAAAGCAGAAAAGGCTATTGGCATTTTGGGAAGGACAGCTGTGCATTGGTGTAAAATGGTTCCAGGTCTCTATGACTTTTAGCTTGCATGTATGCCATGTCAGTGCCCCCTGGTTGTAAGAACCGATCTCTCCTCCCACAGATGGTGCTAGAAAGGAGTTTAATGCTGGTCAGAGAGACCCAGGGATATCAAGGGGGAAAGTGGAAATGTAGGAACCAGTAGGGGTGACCTGAAAGAAATCTGGAGGTGAGATCCTGTGCCCCGAGGGGCCTTTTATACTCTCCTACGGTAGGAATGGCTCCTCCAAGGGCCTTAGATGCAGCAGACATCACATCTCTGCCTGTCTTCCTTCAACTGTATCTTCAGTCTCCTCCTTGACCTCTTCTTATTCTATATATTACCCCCAGGAGACTGATTTTACTTGCAAGCCCCAAATGTCATGTAAATGCCAATTTCTCCCGACCTTGTGTCTCTAGCCAAGATATCTCTTCTGACCTTGGAATTGAGTATATGAAAAAGATGGCTATTCATATCAATTTAAAAAGGTATAAACTACTCAACAATAAATTGTGTCTATACATATGGGAAAAGGTTGAAATAGATCCTTAACCAATTATGGAAATATGCTCCTGAGGGTTAAAGAAATTAATAGAAAAATTATGAAGTCATAGAAGTAAATATAAAAGGCACATACCTTTTGATGGTTCCAGTTTAAGATGGCGACATAGGAAGATCCTGAATTCACTTCCTCCCAAGGACATACCGAGTCCACAGCTGTGTATGAAAAGAATTTCCTCTGAAAATAACAAAAAGGCTAGTTGAACAATGACTACACATTGGGCAAACGAGAAGAAAATCACCTCAAAGAGGGGAGGGGAGGGGAGGACACAATCTTGCCATGAACCTCACCCCCAGCTCAGCGACCGGCAACCGGAACTCAAAGTCTGGAGCTTCTCCTTGAGGAGAGAAGGGTTCCAACCCCACATCAGCACCCTAAGTATTAAGACCTGCATCTGAGAGATGAGCCCCCAGACATCTGGCTTTGAAAACCAACAGAGCTTGTGTGCCTGGGAGGCGCAAGATTAGAGATCTGACACTCGGCTCTTAAAGGGCCCGTAGGCTGAGACTCACCGTCCCGGTGCCCAGGGCAGAGGCCATGATAGTGCCCAGACTTTAAGTGAAAGCGGCCCACTGGCTTATATTAAAGTGTCAGTCCGAGTACAGACATTTAATCTAACACACACACCGAAGAGCCCGCTGGAATACTCTCCCGGGCCAGACACTGGGGGGTGCCATCCTCATGCTCTCCCTCTGCCTTGCTCTAGCTGAATGGGAGAAGGGGCTCAAAAGGTACAGATTTCCAGCTATATATATATGGTATTTATATATATATGGTATTTAAGGTATTAAGGTATTATATATAAAAGTTCTTTAAAATCCTCTTATAACAAAAATGAAAAAAGAACTCCTAAATATGAAAAAGAAAAACATACAATTGAATATTGAGCTATATGAAACACATTAATAGGCATTCATGGCAGAAAATAACATGAATGACTGTGAAACATGAAAACAATTTTCATCTAGTTAGTAATCAGGGGAATTAAAATGAGAGCAACAGTAAGATTATTTCCTCTCTTGGGTTGCCTGGCTGGCTCAGTGGGTACAGCATGTGACTCTTGATCTCAGGAAAGTGAATTCAAGCCTACATTGGGCGTGGAGCCTACTTAACAACAACAACAAAAGATTATTTCCTCTCTGGATTGAAAGAGAGAGAGAGAACATGAGTGAAGACAAGATATTAACCCACATACTGCTAACGGTATACAATTTCAGTCTGAATTGAAAGGAAATTTGGCAGTATCTCAGAACTTAAAGTATACCTATTCTTTGACTCAATAATTCCACTTCTTATGTACTCCCCCCAGAAAGTCACAAATATGCGCAACATACAAGGATGTTTATTGCAGTGCTGCTTGTCAGCAAAGAATTGAAAGAAACCTGATGGCCAAATATAATATGGCACATCAATGGCTAAATATATTATGGTTTGTTCTATCTTAAGATACTATACATAGATTAGAAAAATAATTACATACATATGTGCTCACGTGGACATTCAGTGAGAAGATATAGGTTCAAAAACAAAACTGTATCAATATCTTGTTATATAAAAATAAGCAGAAAAGCAATGCCTTGCCTGATAAAGCAAATTTTTGGTATAGCATGAGAAGTCGTGAAGGAATTAAACCTTTAATTTACATTTTTGAGAATTTTGCTACAAAATACACCCTTAGTATTGTCCTAAGAAAATTGGAATAAAGGAATATACCAGATATTACGTTTTTCCTTTAATGGAAAGGGAAGGGAACAAACCAAGAGAGTGAAGAACAAAATGCAAGCAATTCTGTAGGAAAGGAATCCATCAGCGTGGGTTCCCGCCCTCATCGTTGCTAGCTCAAGAAAAGACCAACCAGCAACTGCAATCCCACAGGTTCCACCAGGGGGCACCACTGGCCAACTCCACACTCAGCAAACGGCCAGCGCGGAAGCCCATTCTTGGGGTTTCTGATGCCCCACACTGATCAGACACACTTCTCTGATAACATACGACATACATGGTGCCTGAAGGTGTAGTCCTAAGCGTCTGCCATTTGCCTCTGTTGGGACTAGAAAGTCTATTCCTATGTTGTTGTGGGGAGATTTCTCCCACTCCCCATCCCCAACACCCTTTAGAAAAATATATTTATTACAATTGCATTCTGCAAATTTTTTTAAAGATTTTATTTATTTATTTGACAGAGAGAGAGAGAGAGCATAAGCAGGGGGAGCAGGAAAGGGAGAAGTAGGCTTCCTGCAAAGCACGGGGCTCGATCCCAGGACCCTGGGATCACGACCTGAGCTGAAGGCAGATGCTTAACTGACTGAGCCACCCAGGCGCCCCTTGACTCAATTATTTCTTAAAGAAACTTTAAGTCATAAAGTACCTGCTTAGCATAATACCACTCAAGTACCAGCCAGAAGCTATTGTCATCCAACTGCTACCAGAGCCCTAACTCTGCAGCCGCTCACCACACCAGAACCAGCTTCCCAGCTGCTGGGGGGCTCCTCCTCTCTGTGGGGAGGAGATACTAGAAAGTCGATGTTACCTCCCCTAGAGAAAACTGGGTATGGCTTACGTGAAGATTTGAGGTTATTTCTAATCCTCCTTTGTGGCAGGGGTTCAGTGTCCGTGGAGATTCTTCATGCTCAGAACAGCACAAAGTACACAGTCTCATTGTGTTTCTTAGACATTCAAGTGGAGGTAGTGAGTTGGTGGTTGATATGAGTCTCAGCAACAGTGAGATGATCTGAACTAGAGATAAGGTCCACTTCTGAGGAAATACAAATAAACATAACTATTAGAATCACATTTTGAGATATTTTTTTCTCTCTTGCATATTTCCTTTTTAAATTTTCTGAATTGTACCCCCAACCACCTCGGTCCAAGCAGTTGGGCCAGTTTAAGTTGATTGTCTCAGGGGCGAGAGCGTTATGGAAAACAGCGTGCCAGTCTCTGGCTAACACCCAAGCTCAGCAAGGAGAAGAAGTAAGACGCCGCTGAGGGTAAGTACCACAACGGAGTCTAAAAGCAGAATGAAGAGTTCCCTTGGGTGGGGGTGGGGGGGAGCTAGGAGGAAGTCTGGTGTTGGAGTCTGAAGAGTTAGGAAATTTCCAGGAAGGAATGGCCACAGCCTCCCAGTGGTTCCTGAGGCCTGAGGCCCAGAGGATCAGTGGGTCCTGAAGAGACGGCTCGTGCATGACGTTATCTGGGCAGAGTTCTTGGGTAAGTGGGAGGAGTAAAGCATGATAGGACTCCAGAGAGATCTTATGGGACCTGCAACCAGTGAGCAAGCAGGGATCCCCCCGGGGTGGGGGGTGGAATGGATGGTTAATTCTCTACACCTGCCAAGAGAAGGCAGACCGCAGTGAGGAGAGGCGGGGATGGACTGGAATATATTGGGATTAAATTTCTGCTCTTCCTATGGATCAGCAGCGCTGCTGGTGGTGCGGGGTTCCAAAGAGAAACTGAGTTAAAGCTACATGAAGCTATATCTCTTTTATATGAATCTGAAGACTGACACTCCTCCCTCACAGGTCTTGTTCTCTTATCAATTCTTCACCGTCATGCTAACTTACCGGGAGACTCTTGGAAACATTTATGCTTATTCCATCATGAGATGGTCACGTGACTCCATTGTTTTCTGAATGAGGTCTGGAAGAATTATAGTTGTGGAAGGAAACAACACACTCAGTTTAAAACTATGAGCAACAGGAGACGTGGGGCATGGGGGTTGACTGCAAGTAAAGAATGTAGAAGCCTTCACTGAAAGGATCACACATCCATGCACACATTCTGCTTCAGTACCGTGTAGAGAATCCCCCAGGGCACTACAGAAGCCTTTCTCTTGCTTCTCTACCAAGGATTTCATGACCTTCCTTCTAGACTAAATTCAAATCTTACTTGCTTTATGAAACCCTGTCCATCAGCTCTAAGAAAAAAAAAAAATTAGCTTTTTTTCCTCTTTGCTTCTAGAGCATTCTTTTAAACTTGTGTTATGTTTTTTGTGCTTTATCGTTATTGTTTCTATATTTGTCTTCCTCTGCACAGTATGTATAAGAGAAACACTTTGCGTTGTTTGGATTCGACTCAGTTAGATTCATGATGTTAATTAAAGTGTGCACATTGACTCGTGAGTGGGTTTTGAAAACAGTAGATTGTGAGCAGTATATTTTTAAAATGGAGAAAAGAACAGAAACCATCAAAGTGATCCAGACATTTTAAGGATGAATAATGCCTCATGAAATTTGTTTCTATTACCTATTTGGATGTTTTGAGTCACAATAAAATGTTCTTCTTATTGAGGATAATTAAAAAAAAAATCAAACATTGGAGGCTCAGACATTTTGGGGTAGACCCCAGGAAGAAAGCGATAGCCAGAGATTCTGAATCTTTCAAACTATGAGGGGATCTACACCACACAGAGAGCAATGGGTCAACTGATACAAGTTCATAGCTTAAGTGAGCAAATAAAATAACTATGAATCATGTTATGGAGGTCAACAAGCTATGTCTGTGAAGACAGTAAATATTTTAGGTTTTGTGGGCTATAAGGTGTCTGTCATAACTATTCAACTCTGCTATGGTAGGGCAAAAAACAGCCACAGGTAATATGTAAATGAATGTGACTGGATTCCAATAAAATTTCAATTTCATATATATTCAGGTATCATGAAATATTCTTCTTCTTTTGATTTTTTCAACCGTTTAAGAATGTAAAAGCCATTCTTAGCTAATGGTGATTTAAAAACATACCTTATTAATAGAAAATTTGAGGTCTAATAAGGCCTACACGTCAGGTGATTACCATTAACAAGATAGTTTGTTACAGTTCCCACAGATCCCATGCCATGGGATCACTCTGGAGGAATGGGGGAAATTGCAGGCAAAAAGCCTTTACTGTGGTTTCTGTGGGAAGGAATGAGTAAGTCAAGGTAAGCAGGCTTAGGATTGGCTAGTTTGAATAATTTCAGCAGGCTCGAGGGTGTAGGGTCTGTCCTTGGTTATCTAGTACCCGGCCCTGGGGTGATGAGGGCAGGTGAATTGTGGCCTGGAGTGTGAGAGCCCAGTAAAGGGGGTGTTTGGGGTTGTAGGCTCTGGACTGGTTGGTTTATATTTGAAAAGTGCACTCATTTGTTTACTGTCTCCAAGAATTGGTTAACTCAGGGAAGGTCAGGCCCCAGGTGTCAGAGCATCAGAATACAGCAAATAAAAGACATGGTTACTACATATGGACCATATAAAAACAGGGAGAAGGCCAGATTTGGCCCAGAGGCTGTGGATTGCCATCCCATGGACTAAGAGCCCAAAGATAATGTTGAATGTCAAACATGCAGGTGTTGTGAAAAATAAATACTTCATGATAAATTAATAAATGTAGTACATCATGAAGCTTCTTGATTCTTGCCAGTGAACATGAAACAAAGAAATTATAATTTATGGTAAGAAACACCTGCATCCATTCAAACTTAAGGAAGACCTTATCCTATTTGGCCTATGTATTCCGTTCATTCTGCTCCCGTAGTCCCCAGAACGTGAATATTCCTTGACCTGCTCTTTCTATCTTTACCGAGAAGAGCAATAGGCAGAGAATGGAATTTGGAATTCTCAAAGTAGTTGTCAACACGGTTTTATCTGCACAAGTCCTCTAGTAAAATATTAGTGAGATCTCTGTCATCTCATCATTCTACCCAGACTGAATTAAAGTTTTTGGAGTTCATAATCTAATTTTACCATCATGAATTCCTTGAGGGCAAGGATGCTGTTTTCGTCCCCATTACTGTCTTGCTCAAGTCCTTTCGCGGGCTGCTCAACACAGTTGGGAGAAAATCCCAAGGCCAACCTGTGGCCGCCGCCTTCCCAGATTGGGTGCCTGCCCTAGCCTCTTGCTGCAGATGCGTCTCTTGGCAGGTCCCCCTTGTCAGTAGCCAGGGGGGTGGGGGCGCTAGAGCCCAAAGGTGTCCAGCCTTTTATGTGCTCTTCCTTTCATCTACAGTTGCTCCCACCCCTTTCCCTGGCTCATTCTCTGTTCTGGAAGTCTTACCCTTCTCATCTCCATCGGGTGCCCTGTAAGTCCAAAGGCCTGAGACTGAGAAATCACAGCTGCCTCTTCCCTTCCTTCACGTGGTTGTTCCCACCTGTCTGTCCAATCATCACTCCTCTCACCTTTTGCCGTTGGTCTCTCCTGTTAGGCCTCGGGTCCTTAAGGGCAGAGGGCCTGGTACCCAGGAGCTATGCCATAAACATTCACTGGGTGGATGGATGAAGGAAGGAGCAAAAGTGAATACATGGCAGCTTGAGGAAGAGGGAGTTCTGAGTGCAGGGTTAGGAGTGACCACGGTGTTCCATGTATGGGCCCCGAAGACTCCTAGTGGCTTTGTAAACCTTCATTCATATTTGATAGCATTTGGGAGTGGCAGGAGCTCTGCTGGAAAAGAGTCTCATGCAGAGACTCTGTGCGGGGATTCTCAGCATGCCCAGGGAGAGAGGGAATTAGAGGGGATGTTAGGGCCTTTAAAGGATGATCATAAGCGTGTAAATGGGGGAGGCTGGGAGCCCTCAGTGATGCTCCTGCAGGAGTGGAGAGGGGAGACACGGAATCTTTAGTTAGTGGAGTCTGGCTAGGTTTTTACTACACATTGTGGACATTTTCCTCAACAATAACCTTTTGCCCTATTTACGTCACCACCACCCATACATCAACTGATGGCTTTACCCGTATATGTAATTGCTCTATTATCCTACTGGGAATTGTGAATAAATGAGAGTATTTACACTGGTTGGTGGATCTAGGATTCCCCCTTCTCTCCTTTATTTTCAGTATATTCTATAATATTATGTGTTCATTTCGTAACGGAATAAGAAACGAAGGCCCAGTCCGTACCCGGCTCTTCTCCCCATCACGTGCTCTTTGCGTAGTGTTACTGCATTGCTGTAAGGTAATGTCCAGCATGTGGGCTCTGGAGCCGCAGTGCTAGGGTTTATATGCTGTGCTCTGTGACTTTGGCCACCTCACTTAACCTCTCTGGCCCTCAGTTTCCTCCTATGGCAAATGGGGATAACAAGAGCACCCATCTCCCATAACTGTTATGAAGATTCAGTGAGCAAATATATGTACAATATTCAGAATGGTGCCTGCAACACAGTAAGGCCAAAGTCAGTGTTAACTGTCACTACTACTTATATATGACGTTAATACTTAAAAAGAAAAATAGTGAGCCTAACAACCCGAAATGGTTATAAAAACCTGTTTACAGGGGAGCCTGGGTGGTTCAGTCGGTTGAGTGTGTGACTCTTGATTTTAGCTCAGGTCATGATCTCAAGGCTGTGGGATCATCGAGCCCCAAGTTGGGCTCCATGCTCAGCGGGGAGTCTGCTTGTCCCTCTTCCTCTGCAACCCCCCATTCTGTCTCTCTCTCTCTCAAATGAATAAATAAAATCTTTTTTAAAAAGTCTGTTACAGTGTTATGTTGACTTATGACACAGGTTAGAAGACTTTCCATTCAAGATAACAAAAATTAAATAGTTGCGTTGCTCTAAAACCCTAGGCTAGCTATGGGAAGAACCCAGTTCTACCAACCATGTCCTTCCCGGCTCTGGAAGGCTGAATTTGGCTCTGTTTAGGCTGCCCTCTGGTGGAGACCTTGCAGGAGGGCTGAAGGCTAAAGGACCACTGTATTCTCACTTAACATAACAAAACAAAAACACATGCACACAATTCCCTTCCACTGCTTGGACAAAGTGATTTTCTAATGGAACTCTCTGTCTCATTAGCCAACAGCCTAGAGCATGGGCTGGAAGCAGATGTGCCGTGGTGTGGACTCCGGGTTCTGGTTGTTGAATATGCTCTCCTTGTGAGGTCTACTGATCTCTACCATGCTCTTCAGTGTACAAAGCATTGGTTCAATCCTTACAGCAGCTCTTAGGATGGGCACATTGATCCCCATTTTAACGATGAGGACACTGAGATTTATAGAAAAGCAATGACATGCCCAACATCACACATCAGTGTATTGGGTCATCCGTTATTCAATATGCCAAGTAGACCCAGGGACCAGGAGCTGAATAATCCCCTCACATGGGCTCTGAGCATGTCATTATGTATAGTGGTGGCTGGGGTGTAGGGGGTGGCCCAGGGGACTGGGGGAATGCTCAGAAATGGTATTTATACAGAGTTGGGCAGGAAGAGTCCCCAGAAGTGGAGCAATTGAGCTCAGTCTTGAAATAGGAGGGGCACCTTCCCAGGTGACAAAAGCTGGGGAATGTAGGCCTCCCGACCTTGTAAAATCTCCCTCGTAATATAATACCTTGTAATATATGTATGACCCAGCATAAAACTAACTCTAATATATATTAGATCTTTTTGCTTTGATCATTAAGTTTAAATTTTTAAAGTTTTTTTTTTTTTTTTTTTTTTTGTCAGACAGACAGAGAGCAAAAGCAGGGGGAGCAACAGAGGGAGAGGGAGAAGTGGACTCCCCGCTGAGCAGGGAGCCCGATGAGGGACTCGATCCCAGGCCCCTGGGATCATGACCTGAGCCGAAGGCAGATGCTTAACCGACTGAGCCACCCAGGCATCCTAAGTTTAAATTTTTAAAATCATCACTCTTCCACAAGCAATTTGAGTTCATTATTAAAGATTCTGAACATTACAGAAACAAAAATAATAAATACCTTGGTTGACAGATTTCAGATCCTTTTTTTCTGCATAAAGAACCGCGTATGTATCAACCTAACAAGACGTCAGAACACTCTCCTGGGTCAACGAACATAGATGTTCAACACAGTTTGAATGTTTGCAGAGTTTTAAACCCTGTGGTTGCACTACCACATATTTGGTCGATACCCTGCTGGAGGACACCAGGCCCATTTACTGAACAACTCTGAAACTCAGCCAAGCTGAGCTGGAGAATGGGGCCGAGATACAAGCAGCTGGGGACAAACCAGGTAAAAATTACTCAGCTACCCACCCTTGCCTTTCTTGTAAGTTATTTGCCTTAGATGGAGCTGCAATTCTGAAAGCTAATCTGGGTGTTTTGCAAGAAGAACAAATAAGCAGAAGTACCCTTTGGAGCCTTAAAAGTCGACGTGGGTTGTGTGCAGTAAAGTCTCAGAGCCTGGCTGAAATGGCCTCTGGGTGCAGGTGGACGTGGGGAAGCAGCAGACTTTCCATCTTCCGGAGGATGCATTCGTTATGGGTGGAGATTCTGAAATGCAATACAACCCTGTAAAAAAACAAACAAACAAAACAAAACAAAACAAAAACCACATATAGAAGATTCCCTTGTCACCTTATCTTGTTTTGAAAATGAAATTTGTGTCCACAAAAGTGAGGTGTGCTTCTCTCCTAATGAGACCTTACAAGATTCTCTGAGTTCCAACACAGACAGGAGTATTTGAAATACTCCCAATGGTGTGTTCTTGAACTCAACACACCTTGGCTACTTCTTCCCTCTCTTCTCCTTCTCTTCACCCTCTCCTAGTTTTTCGCATACCAACTTCATGCCAGGTGTTGCAGGCACTGGGGTTACATACCGGCAATGTGCAGAGCTGACCTGTGGGGACCTTATTCACAGCCCCTGGCGCAGTCGACAAATCTACAAATGCACACGTGAGGGCAACGTGTGTAGGTCCGAGGGAAGCACGTACAATTCTATCTACGGAGGTCAAAGAGGTGCCCAGAGCAGCTGACGTTTGGGCTGCATCTTGCCAGGAAACAAGGGGGAAATGCTTGTGCAAAGGCGCCAAGGGTGAAATCATTAGTCCTACGTGTGCAGAGAGAAGTACAAGGCACCCGGAGTGCTGGGAGCCTGTCGGAGGCTGGAGAGGGACCAGGGCTTTCTGTGGCATGGAGGCAGACAGGTTTTCTGCCACACACGATGAGGAGGCACCAAAGGGCTCTTAGTGAAGAAATTACAATATGTGATCGGTCATGATCTTTCTTGGTTCCTTGCCTTCAAGCATCCTCCACTCTGAAATGGCCTTCCCAACCCCATCTTCCTTTTATCTGGCTAACTCTGATCATCCTACACGTTTCAGCTCAAATGTCCCTTCCTCCGAGAGTCTTTACCAGAGACATCCCTTCTAGTTCTGACAATGCTACTCAGTCTCCACATCATGACCTGTCATGATGGGCCTCTGTCACCTGTGAAATGAGGATCACAACATGGTCTCACTTCTAGGCAGGGGCAGGATGTAAGGAGGGAGGGGACAGAGACTGCAGAGGATGGTCACTGCTGATTAATCTGTCCCTGGAACAGCAGCAGGGAGGTGACTGTGGAGCCAGGTCTGGGTCCTGAGAAGACTGGATGCTGGATGGGGGTGTGGGTGGGGCACTCGTGGGCAGAGGAGGGATGGGAGTTGTCAGGGGAGGAGTTAGTACCTTGCAGATGGGGGGTTTGGGGATGGTGGTGGGGCAGAGAGAGCTGAGAACAGCTGTGACAGGGAGAAGTGGGAAAGTTCAGGCCCAGAACTGCCACTTGGGCCTCCTCCCCTGAAGAGCGTTACTGGGCTTGGGGCAGCCCCCGGAGGGGGGTGTCCCCCCGGAGCTGGGCAGAGCCTCATGGGCAGGCCATCAGCATGGTGTCCTCAGTGAAGAGAGGGAGAGAGAGCGGGAGAGCGAGAGAGCCTCAAGGATCTCTGAACTCAAGGGCACCCAGGCTGCAGTGATGTCCAGTCACAGGACTACTTCCTGTTCCCACTAAGTGTCCCAGTGGAGGCACTAGACTCTGACAGGACTGGGGGGCTCTCGAGGGTAGAGGTTCTAGCTCCCCAGCAGGGCGTGGTGCAGAGAGAGTGCCTGGTAAAGATTTGTTTCATATCTTGTAACCTCTATGTTGAACAAACCCAAGTGGGACATCATCAGAATATGTTTTTATTTTTGTTATTCCATCCTTTTAAAACGTGCCTAGGACCCTTGACTTTTCTGTTCTCACTCAGGTAGTAATTGTCTTGCAGTCACTTGGGTTGTGAATAGTCTCACTCAAATAATTAGAAAGGCTAGTTTGTGTAATCATCATCATCATCATCATCATCATCATCATCAGACTGGAATTTAGCATTCAGTCTTGTCCCCTCCTCCTAGCTGTAGAGGATGGTTGGTGAAAACCTGCTGTGTGAGTGACCAGTGGTCAGCTTCTCACCTTCTCAGCTCCTGTCCCCACTACTTACTAGTGAAGGCTGGCAATTGGAGGGGGGCGAGATAATTAGGGGTCAAGACAGGGTTTCCTGTGGTGGGACTGTGGCTGGGGGGAGCCTCGCTGGGAGCCAGCTTTCTGAAGCTAAGTCTCTCACTTGTCCTGCCTTCATGGACTCTTCAGAGACCCCCTGTGGCCACAGCCCCTGTGACATGGGCGGTGTGTTCTGTCTCTTTGGATGTCATTCCCCTGAGCCTCTGGTCCGCTGGTGGCCCACTGTGCACGGCATCTCACTGTTGGGGTCCCCTCGGCCTTCCAGGCTCTGCTCTCCGGCAGAGCTTAAAACCCCGCTGGCCAGGCTCTTCGGGGCCTGGGAAACACTGGCAGGTCCTCACGGACGAGTCCTGGGAAAGCAGCCCCGTCCTGTGCAGGCTCTCCTTCCCATCCTGCTGCCCAGGCTGCCTCAGCTCTCAGAGCCCTTCTTGCACCCCCAGTCTGTGGGAACACAGCAGGGATGGCCCGCTGCAGCCATGGAGGGCCCCTGGTCAGGCTTGAGGGGAGAAAACCACCCACCCCCAACACTCCTTGAAAATGACGTGGGCTCTTGGCCACAGCGCCCTGCAAAGAAATCTCTTCACAGATCCTCCCCTCCTCTTCTGACATGCACAGACCCTTCTGTCTTCTCAATTAGGGGACAGGGCTCAGGGATCACAGAACCTGCTGGAGGAGGTTTCCTCTGGGAATTCTAGATATGGGGAGCTGGCTCACACCCAACTCCGTGGGGCCCCGTGAGAGGAGACCCATCTGCCAGGTCTGCTACATTAGGCTGAAAACGCGGGCAGGTGGAACGTCAAGTTCAGCCACTCTGAGTTCACTGCTCCTTTGCTCTGGCCCTCCTCCCCCACTAAACGTCTGCTCTGAGAGTCGGAAACCTGCAACCACGGGGGGACTGGACAGCCCTAACATCTAAGCAGTCTTTATTGCATTCAATTTGGATCGCCTTTAAGTCATCAATTTTTAGGTGAGGCTATTGGCTGGGACTAAATTCAGCAGAGGATGGAAGTGGCTAAGATTGCTCCACAAACTTGCTGTGTAAATGTGGGCCTAATGGCAAGTAACCTGCACCTACTTAGCAGAAAATCAGCGTCTCCTTGAGGTTCGCCCGTCTCACCTGTCTCCGCTGTTTGGAGAAGGTCCTGGTGGGCGCGGGACAGCCCTGGGATCCGCCGCAGCCGCTGCCCAGCGCTGCCACACGGTGGCGCCGTCGAGGGACTCTCGGCCTCCACAAAGCGGCTTTTGTCCGCGTCCCCGCGCCGCCGCTCAGCTTCTCCCCGGGGTCGGGGCGGGGGGAGTGACCCCATTCCCTCAACCGCAACCTCAGCCAGGGGTGACCCCCGCTCGAGCTCACGAGGTTGCAGCTCAGCTGAGTTCTGCCTCCAGTGTTTTTTCACAGCCGCCGTCCAGGTGCCCGCTGGGCCCAGGAACCCCAGGGCCGCACAAGCTGCCGAATCCTAGCGAGCCTTTGTTTTCCACTCCCAACACAAAGGGCGCTGTTATCACCTCCCCGTCTGGACAGGGGGCTCCTGGCATCCATCTAGACTTCTGAGAAAAAGACCATCGGTGACTCATTAAGGGAGTCCAGCATGCCCTAGCTCTCTCTGCCCCTTCCCTCCACCTCTGCTTAACAGCCCATGAAGGCCAAGTGGGTTTTCTTTCTGAGTCTACAGGCCAAGAAGAAGTTGGCACTTTTCTCAGGAAAGCAAAGGACTACAAGTGTATCTTTTAATCTTTCCCAGGCACCCCTCTTGTAAGTCACTCTGCCTCAAAGTAAAACTGTGTCTAACATGCTTTAAGATCTAGAATGGTCGGCAGCCCTGACCTTCAGAGCAGACCTCTGGGAGCACATGTGAAAATGGTGCAGCAGTCCAACCTTTCGCCCTCAAGGAAGTGACTTTAGATTCCAAGGGCTTGCTCATGCATGGCAATTCGTTTTTAAAGCTTCCAAGAGCAAAGGGTAGACTCTGTGGAGCTGCAGAGTGGGGAATCCAGTGTTTTCGTGGCAGAGATCGAAGTCATGGAGTGCTGGATGTCACACCGGTGACTAAGCCGCCTCTTAACTGAGTAGGAGCCAGGCACTGAGGGAAGCACGGTGGGATGGTACATCCCACAATCCAGGATAACCCCGGCTGCCATCTTTGAACATGGGGATAACTCAAAGCATCTGTGGGGGGTGAGGTACTCTGCATATGTTATTTCTTATCCTCACGACCAGTCTCTTTGGTTGGTATTTATCTCCCCGCCCCCCTTTACAGATGAGGAAAGAATGGCTCAGAGAAGTTAAGTAATCAATCCAGTGTCACACAGCTAGTTATTAGTGGAGTTGGGATTCAAACCCAGATCTCAGGACTCTACAACTCATTCTCATCCCCTCACACTACGCTGCCTCTCGAGAATGGTGTCTACCTTGGAAGAGGATGGCAAGGAGAAGATAGCTGGGAATGGATCTTGCCATGTTTCACGGTTCCTTGCGAAATTCCAAGTTTAGACAAATGATAGCTTGGCCATAAAAATCATTCTGACTTACAGACCCTGGCAGAAAGAGTGGGTGGGAACAAAGGGCACAGAATGAACATGACCACTTCTTTTTCTTGGTGGCATGTGGGCTTCTTGTTAATGTGTATCCTCTTTCACATCTCTGTGTCTTTGCCCCCACTGCTCCTCTGCTTGGAGTTACTTCCGCCCTCTCCCTTGCTCCACCTGGGGAGTCTGTCTCCTCTGCAGAAGAGGGCTTTCTTTCCCCATGGCTCCCCTAACACCCAGGTGGAATTAAGCACTCCCTCATCTGTGTTCCCATTGTTCTCGCCCAGGCCCCAGGGCAGCAGACACTATTCAAGGCATTATTCATTGTTTGTGTAGGCCTAGGGCTGCCATGGTGGGAGGGGAATTCTCTTTTACTCGAGACAAAAGCAGATACTGGGAATGAGCCCCAACCATTGGAAGAACATGGAGTTCTGAAGGGATCTCCTTCAAAAGAGGGCCATGGTCAAGGGGGGGAAGCTGGGCCAGGAGCCAGCACCTAGAGAGGGTGGTGGGAGTGAGCACAAGTCAGGTCCCAAGATGCTCGTGGTGCGCTGTCTGCACACAGAATGCCAGTCCTCGGTAAGTGGTTGACCAATGGGGGAGGAAAGGCTGAAGTGATGAGCAGCCTTTCTCGGCCAAACCTGAGGCTGTGTTGGTCATGGGCAGTGACCGCAGTCTGGCAGTCTGGGCAGCCCACATGCTCCTGGAACTTCCCCTGGTATTTCCCAACTGGCTTCCCCACCGGTGTGACCAAAGACCTGGACTGCTTGACTTGGCAAACTACACCGACCATCCCAGCCGGCTGCATTCTGAGCCCTGCTTTCCCCTGTTTCCAGCCCTACACGGAGGACTCAACCCCCTCCATTTGGGGGCCAGCCCCTACTCCTGGCTATGAATCTAAATGTGCCCCACACCCCCTTGTTTTTCTAACTGGGTGTGGGGAATTTCCTTGGTTAAGCCTCCAGGTCTTCCTTCCTTCTGGATTTAATGAGCTCATTTATTTTTCTTTTTCACTTAGCAGGTTTTAGGGCTGGTTAATGAGTGGTGGGGTTCTCTTTAAGAGCCAAGTTGGGCCAAGCTCAGGGCACTTTTCTTGCCATTTCCAGTTCTCAAGTCCCCAGTGTCTCTTACAGTCTCTCCCTGGCTCTGGCAGCCACTCTCCTCAGTGCAGTTCCCATCTGTGGAAATTTCTGGAATACAATGACACGTCGGCCTCAGGGTTTTATTTTGTTTTGTTTCTTCACATACTTCCCTGGGACAGTTGTTTCAAGATGGTCTGTGCTTTCTAAAAAGAAGAAGCTGTTGAAGTGCCAGGGAAAGAGATCCATTTTTAAATGCAGGGTTTCCTCTTTAGGTTTTGTCTGAAGCTTTTGGTAGATTTTGGGGTGGGGGTTGGCTGTGAATTCCAGGGAGACTTGCCAGAGGCTATTTAAACCTCCTTTGTGTGAAGTGTTGTACAGAGCTGCCAGGAGGGGAGGGAGCACTAATAGAAGGGAACTTGGAAGCCTTGCTGTGGTGGCTGGCACTTGGGAGACTTTCAGCCCAGAGAGAATGAGAAAGAATGCAGGGTCCATGTGGCAAGGACAGGGATCCACAGGGACTCAATGGCTTACTCGGTTCCCAGAAGCAACTTGAGGTAGTGACTTCACAGCTGCTTTGGTGAATCATGTACCACAGAAAGTTTAGCCCAAGGAATCCCCTTGCCTGTTTGTCCATTCATTTGTACACCCATCCATCTATCCATCCATCCAATAAACAAAGATTAAGTACTTGATGTGAGGCAGACACTGGGTTAGGCCCTGGGGGGGCAGGAGGAATGTTTGGACCCAGTCCTATCCCACAGGTCATCTCCACACATTTCTGAGAGTGAGGATCCTGTGCAGGAGAGTAAGACAGACAGTGGGAAGGCACCAGAGGGTAAGTCCCAGAAACCCCCGCATGCTGTGCTTAGGTAGTTTGCAGAGCTGTTGTCAACTTCTCTTTTCCTGCTGAACTCCTGAAGCTTAGGTACCACATTGCCCTCCTGAGCTCCACTCCCGCCTGTGAAGTCACAGCCCTCAGCCTGCCTCTGCGAAGGGTCTAGGCTGAGGGTGGCAATGGGCGGTCTGAGGTGCTTCCATCCCAGGTGAGAGCAAGGCTCCTGGGGCCAGGGTCACTGTGGCCCCAAACACATTTTTGAAGCTTGTTGTGATGTGCCCCTAGCAAAGATCAGAGAGAGGGGAGGCAGGCTGCCCTCAGCTGTGTCAGCCAGGGTATTAGTTTGCTAGGGCTGCTATAACAAAGCCCCACAGAATGGGTAGCCTGAGGAATAGAAGTTTATTGTCTCACAGTTCTGGAGGCCAGCAATCCAAGATCAAGGTGTCAGCAGGGTTGATTCCTTCTGAGGGCTGTGAGGGAGATTCTGGTCCAAGCCTCTCTCCTTGCTTCTGGTGGCTTGCTGGCAGTCTCTGGCATGCCCTTGGCTTTGAGCAAGACCACCCCAGTCTCTGCCTTCATCTTCACAAGGTGTTCTCCCTGTGCATGTGCCTCTGTGTCTAAAATTTCCCCTTTTATAAGGATACCAGTCCTGTTGGATGAGGGCCCACTCTGATGACTTAGCTAACTACATCTGCAATTACCCTATTTCCAAATAAGGTTACATTCTGAGGTCCTAGGGGTTAGACTTAAAGGTAAGAATTTTCGGGGGACATAATTCCAACCATAACACCATGTTTCTGACTTTATTGCCCTCCTGCTGCCATCAGCAGTGCCTACGAGGAGAGGGCCAGAGTGACTGTACCTCAGAAAGGGCTGGGGGGGCTGCCCCAGGGGGAAATCAAAGGGTGGTCTGGAAGCAGGGACACATCTGCTGGAAGGAGAGTGTTTGTGCTGGAAAGCCGCCTGGCCCAGGGAAGTCTCATGGGCGCCTGCTGGACCGGCAGCTAGCAATGCAGGGATTTGGTCCTCTGTGCCTTTGTGTCTAGAACGGGCAGGAACCCAGATGGAAGGAAAGCCCCCAGCAGGCAGCCCTTTTGCCTGGGACAGAGTTGCCAGAGGAGAGCAGGGGCAGGCTGCCCCTAGGTTCTGGGTGAAGTGACCCCTGGAACCTGAGGGAGAGGGGAGAAAAGCAAGCAAGGTCCAGAGTTCTGAGGTACGTGGGCAAAACTGGCATGTGGGGATGCTCTCAAGGGTGCCCGCGGTGACTGACTGGGCCTTCCTTCGTGCGAACATCCAGGATTTGCCGAGACTCTCGTAACCACATCCTCTTTGAAACACAGAGGAATTGGGTGCCTGGGTGGCTCAGTCGGTTAAGCGACTGCCTTCGGCTCAGGTCATGATCCCGGAGTCCTGGGATCGAGTCCCGCATCGGGCTCCCTGTTCAGCGGGGAGCCTGCTTCTCCCTCTGACCCTATCCCCTCTCATGCTGTTTCTCTCTCTCTCTCTCTCAAATAAATAAATAAATAAATAAATAAATAAATAAATAAAACCTTAAAATAAATAAATAAATAAAAGATTTTTAAAAAAAGAGAAAGAAACACAGAGGAATTTAGTTAAAAAGCATAAATATAGAGTGTCATTTAATAGGGCACTTGTGGACTTTGACAGATAATTCTGAAAAAGAAAATTGGGAACACTTACCTCACCAAATATTGAAATTTAAGATAAAGTGATTGTCATCAAAAGGATGTATTTTGGCACATGAATAAATGGAATAATGGAAGAGGCTAGATGTCAGGAATGGACATAGTATGTTGACATACTTAAAATCTGATAAAGGTGACATTTCAATTCAATGGGAAAATTATGACTGATTCAAGAAATGGTGTTGACCTAATTGGCTCTCCATCTGGGAGAAAAAAGCAAGGCAGACACCACCTCCTACCTATTGCTCCTATATGCAGCAGTGACTCTCAGATGGGTTTGGTTTAAAGATCTAACTGTCAGTAAACAAATAAACACATAATGTATTTGAGGAAAATTTAGTGGAAAATTCACTTTCCAAATTTCCAAATTTGTGTAACTTTGGAGTAGAAGGGATTTTTTTTTTAAAAAAAGATTTTATTTATTTATTTGACAGAGAGAGACACAGCGAGAGAGGGAACACAAGCAGGGGGAGTGGGAGAGGGAGAAGCAGGCTTCCCACCGAGCAGGGAGCCCGAGGTGGGGCTCGATCCCAGGACCCCGAGATCATGACCCGAGCCAAAGGCAGACGCTTAACGACTGAGCCACCTAGGCGCCCCTAGAAGGGATATTTTTAATAATTGCGGAAATCCACAAAACTGAAGGGGGGAAAAAGAAGGACACGTGCCCACATATTTTTTTCAAATTTTAAGAAAAAAGAACCATAAGGAAGGTCAGATGGCAAACTGTAGATCCAGCTAAATGTAGGTAGCATATATGAAAAGACATTATCCTTATTTTACCCAAGGCTCATATAAACTGGTAATAAAATGGCAAAAGGCAATAGGAACATAGGGAAAAACATGAACAGGCAATTCACAGAAGAGAAAAGAAAGATTTAAGTGGAGTTGAAAAAGGATTGGTCAGAGAAAGCCAAATGTGATGATTTATTGATTAGATTGGCAAAAATTAAAAAACACCAATAACATCTTGTGCCTGAGAGAATGTAGGAGGATGAACACTTTTACACCTTGCTGATAGGAGTATGAGCTGCTGAAACCTCCAGGAAAAATAATCTGGCAATGCTTATTAAAGTTCAAAATGCCACCACCGTTGACTCAACAACCCCATTTTGGGCAGTTGTTCCAGTAGATATAAAAACACTGGTACCCAAGAATAGATGGACATGGATGTTTACAGGCCACTCTGTGCGGCAAAATATCGGGCAATACATAGTCATCCATCAATGATAAAGTAACAGAATAAACATGGTGCCTGCATGCTGTGGGATAGTATGTAGCTATTACAAAGAGTTAGATTTGTCAACATATTCATGTGGAGAGATGCTAATACATTAAGAGCAAAAGCAAGTTGTGGAAAGTGTGTATAGTATGATCCCTTTTTGTAAAAAAAAAAAATTGACTAAAAGCACATAAAACTTAACACCCACGCCTGTTGTGTGTTGCATGTGTTTATTCCAGTGTCAAGAAGCATGTCTTCACGGGGCGCCTGGGTGACTCAGCCGTTAAGATCTGCCTTTGGCTCAGGTCATGGTCCCGGGGTCTTGGGATCGAGCCCCGCATCGGGCTCCCTGCTCTGCGGGAAACCTGCTTCTCCCTCTCCCACTCCCCCTGCTTGTGTTCCCTTTCTCGCTGTGTCTCTCTCTGTCAAATAAATAAAATCTTAAAAAAAAAAAAAAGTGTCCTTGATGATCAAGAAAAGGAGACATTTAAAAAAAAAAAAAAAAGAAGAAGAAGCATGTCTTCACAGCATGTGCTACCTCCAGGCATGAGATGGGGTGATTTTTAACTTCTTGTTTCTGTATCTTTGGCATGTATGCTTATTACAAGAATCACATTTTTGCTTTTTTAATTAAAAGCAATTGGATAAATGCAATTTTAAAGGGGGGGAAGAGACAAAGTGTTCAAAACACTTCTATGACTCATTGGGCCCTCAGGATGAAGTCCGATCTCTTTAATGGACTTACGAGGCCCCTGGGATCTGGTGTCCACAGGCAGCACCATCCTCTTTTCCTTTTGTTCTGCCTTTCCCCCTCTGTTTTCCAGCTGTGCAGACCCAGAAACATTCTGGACAGCACTCTGCTCTCACTACACACCTTGAGCCTCCTTCCATGGGCTCGGCAAAGTACCCACCTTCCGCCTCCCTTAGCTCCTTGTACCTCTGTCCCTGGTGGTGTTGTGGGCTTCCCCCTTAATCGCCTGTTCACTTAGTTTTATCCCCAGTGGACGATAATTCGCAAGAGGGCAGGAGTAGCGTTTGTCATGGTGTCCCTAGTGCCTCATCTAGCTCATTGTAGGTACAAAATACAAGAAATGTTTGTTGAACGAATAAAGGAAAGAAGGATGAAACGAATGAACAGACACCAGGCATTAGAAATACAAAGGAAAAAACATAGTCTATGCCCTCAAGATTGTATGGTGCAGAGACAGGCATGTGAACAGCCCAGTTATAATATAAGAAGATAGTTATCGTTAAAGACTGAGGGAACATAAGCTACCCAAAATTGCCCGGGAAAAGTCTGGAAGCTAGAAAACATTTAATCAAAGATTTGAAGAATGAACAGACATTTACCAGGAAATAAGAGGATGGAGTGATGTTTCTGGCACAAGGACAAGCCCCTGCAAAGGCACAGAGGCATCAAAGAACATGACAGAGTCTGAAAACCTCGAGCGATTTAATATTGCGCGAGCATAAAGTTCAAGGTTGGGCAAAGGAGTAAATGAAAGAAGATAAATGGAGGCATTTATCCTGGAACCAGATCATTCACGAAGGTCTCTGCAGGCCAAGCTTGTGAGTTTAGAGTTCAGAGGGGGCAGTACTGTGCAAGGTTTAAGCAGGGGTGTGACATGAGGGGGCTTAGATCACACCAGCAGGATGCGAAGGGGAGGGGGGCGGTGCTCAGATGATGTCAGGTGGAGGGAGACTGGCCAGGGTGCACAGCAGGAAGGAGGTCGCTGCTGTCTTCCCCGGGTGAAGGCACCGGGCTGAGCCAGCACAGGGACTGGTGTAGTAAAAGGGGGGTCAAGCTGACATGACCGGGCGCTTGATGGGCTGGCATGAGGATGGGGAGGGAGTCAAAGTGGCCTCTCAAATTTCTGATTTGGCAGCTTGTCTTCTTTATTATAACACAGATGACCCGGAAGAGAAGCAAGCCTGAGAAAGGCAGAAAGTGGAGAACTGGGTGTGGGCCATGTTGAGATGATCCCTTCCCTAGGGCTGCTGAGGGTCTCAGACTGCAAGGCTTCAAACAACAGACATTGATTTCTCTCACAGTTCTAGACGGTGGAAGCCCAACATCGAGGTGTCGGCAGGGCCGACTCCCTCTGCGACTCTGGGCGGCATCCTTCCTTCCCTCTCTCCAGCTTCTGGTGGTGACCGGCCATCCTCAGTGTCCTTGGCTTGCAGCGGTGTGGCTCCAGTCTCTGCGTCTGTCCTCACCTGGTGTTCTCCCCGTGTGTCTTCCTGGGGCACTTTCCTCTTCTTCTGAGGACACTAGTCATATTGGATTAGGACCCACCCCCATGACCTCATCTTAACTTGATTACATCAGCAAAGACCCTATTTCCCTATAAGGTCACATTCACAGGTACTGGGAGTTAGGACTTCAACACAGCCTTTGGTGGTGGTGGTGCGGAGGGACACGATTCAATGTATAACACTGAGTTTGAAGAGCCGTGGGACCTTGGATGGAGACGTCCAGGAGGCCTCTGGATAAATGGGAGGGAGGGCTCAGGGGAGATGCCTGGGCTGCATCTTTATTGAGAATCTGCCAGCCAAGAGACAACAGCCTGAGGTGATCACAGCGAGCCGGTGAGTGGCCTGAGAAGAGAAACCGTGGGGAAGGTCATGGTCAAGCAGGTGCGAGGGGCAGAGCATCCCATGGGCAGGAGTGTGGTGTATGTGCACGAGGGACTCCGTGGGCGTGGCTGACCCGGAGCTGGTCTGGGTCCTTCCTTTGCCGGGCGCTGACCATCACCCCCTGGAGGGCCAGCCCGTGTTTTCGGCTGCCTGGTTCTTCCATGCCTGGATCTCTCCCCCCGCATTTGACATGGCCTTTTCCCTTACTCAGGAAGCACTGGAGCCCTGCAGCCATCTCCTGTAGGAGTCAGCAGGGATGTTTTGGGATGTTGTTGGGGCAGCCGCCTCCCCCAGCTCAGCACTACAGTTGCAGCATTGATAAAGCAAACAAGGCCGGCTTGTTTGTGTTTTGCATTTCTTCAGAAATGAGCTGGCAGTTTTGTAATAACGCTGAGGAATTACGCTTTATTGCATCACCAAAATATTCCCATATGGCCATAAAAGTGTTGTCCAGAGCATATGCAGTCTTTCCCCTCCCATTGCACACCCACTGAGCTGTGTGAGAGGCTGCAAAGCCAGCTCTGGGGTATCAGAGAAAGCCGCAGATTCTCGAATGTGAGACTGAAAGTCAGGGCAAGAACGGAGTGACTCAGCCAAGGGCTTCTGGAAGGCGTACCTT